GGGTAGAGGGGTGGGAGGCTCTGAGGACAGAATGGAGCAGTTTGGTTGCCCCAAGCCTTAACTCCCAAGTGACTCCACTCCCACTGTACTGCTGTTTTCAGCCTCTGTCCAGACCTGTGGCTCTGGCTCCATTCCAACATCTCCCCGAGCTCCTTCCTTTTTTTTTTTTAATCCTTACCGGAGGATATTTTTTCCATTGCTTTTCAGAGAGAGTGGAGGAGGGGGAGAAACATCAATGTGAGAGAGACACATTGATTGGTTGCCTCCTACATGTGCCCCGACTTGGGCCGGGGATTGAGCCCAAAACAGAGGTACATGCCCTTGGCCCGGGACCCTTCAGTCTATGGGCCAACGCTGTAACCACTGAGCAAAATTGGCTAGAACCCTGTGCTCCTTTCAAAAAGGGCCAGGACATAGGCTCTGAGGGTCCTTCTGCCCCTCCAATTCCATAGGCAGAGCCCAGGAATCTCTGGGCCAGAGCTGTATCCAGGCAGCAACTCCCTCTTCAGCTAAGACCCAAGCCCGGGTCCTGAGCATTCCCAGGCAGTCCTGACAGCTGCTTATCCCTGTGACTGTACTTTCCCCAGACCCCAGCCCTTTGTGGTTCCTGTTCCTGTGTGCCCACATCGGCTCCCAGTTGGCGAGAGCTACACCCATACCTCAGACCATCACAGCTGCTACAGCCTCAGCTGGGATCACAAAGGACCACTCCTTCACCCACCCCTCAACACTCCCAAGAGCTAAGCAGTGCCCAGCATTGGAGATGATCTGGCTAGAAGTGGAAGTCGCACTAAGTAAGGAGCAATTTTGAAGAAAGCCCAGGAGGGCACAGTGTTTGGAGGGTAGGCTGTCAGCATGGGGTAAAAGGGTTGGGTTGACTCCTGAATATACCCCCCCTTCCCTTTTGCTATTAGCCCACCACCAACCTGGCCAGCTTGGCTGAGCACTGAGCATTCTCTGTGTCCCACCCAGCATCATGAGTATGGGCAGAGTGCCCTGCTCTCTATCGAATGGGACAGAGAATTCAGACAAGGAAAGGTGAGAGGATGCCCAGAGCCTGGACTGCAGTGTACTCAAGGCCCAGCCTCTACTCTTAGAGCCCACTCAGAGGAGCAGTGGCTAGTAGGGCTGCCTCCTTGGCTGGGGGTCCTAGAGTCACTGAAGCTGGGCACTAGAAAAGGTCATCCTGAATAAACAAGCTCTGGAGTAATCACCTGAACCAAGGACCTGTCCCCAGATTCCTTGCTCAGCCTCGGGCTTCCACTTTAACAGACTTTCCCACCTGGGTGGTGTGCTAAGCAGCACTCTAGGTTCCTGGGTCATGGGGACTGTGGCATTGGGCAGGGTGGGCTGGCCACAGGATGATGGGAGGGCCTGCTCTACAGAAGGGCTAAGGGCTGACAGCCGCTTGTGCCCCTAGATGGAACTCTCACTTTGTCCTGTACCGCCTGCAGCCGCTTCCACCACTTCAGCATTCTCTACTGGCTGGGCAATGGTTCCTTCATTGAGCATCTCCCAGGCCGGCTGTGGGAAGGCAGCACCAGGTGAGGGGCATGGTGGCGAGGCCCGCAGGAGGGAGGCCTCCTCCTGCAGTCCTCTCATGGCCCTTTCTTATCTGCTGCAGCCAGGAGCGCAGGGGCACCACCACTCAACTAAGGAAGGCCTTGGTGCTGGAGGAGCTGAGCCCCACCTTGCGCAGCACCAACTTTTCTTGTGTTTTCATGGATCCCGAGCACACTGTCCAGCGTCCCTTTGTCCTGGCCCATCTCTTGGTAAGGAACCTGAGAGGAGGATTCCAGGGCCGGGAGGAGCTCTGCTCCAGTGTGGGAGGAAAAAATGGGCTCCGCCCAGAGTAGTCTCTAGCTAATGACTACCATTCCCGCAAGTCCCCCCGGCCCAAGGTGGAAACTAAAAAGGACTTTGGACACAAGCAGAGGCGGCATGGCCTAGAGGAAAATGATGAGATATCCCTCCTCTCTTAGCCCTGATCCTTGTCTGTTTTTACTTCTCCAGGCTGGGCTGAGGACAACCATGCCCCCCACTCAAGAAACCCTTCAGAGCGTCCCCTCTGCCTCATCATCCTGACAGGTGAACTCTGAAGCCTGGGTGAAACGCTATCTCTTCATTTAGGTCTAGGTTCTGTCAGCTCAGGCCACAATCTGCATCAACTTATATGTTATGTTTGTATAGGCATACCTTGTTTTATTGTGCTTTGCAGATAATGCATTTTTTGCAAATTGCAGGTTGTGGCAACCCTGTGTCGAGTAAGTCTAGTCACACTATTTTTCCAACAGCATTTGCTCACTTCATGTCACATTTTGGTAATTCTTTCAATATTTCAAACTTTTTCATCATCATTATATTTGTTATGATGATCTGTGATTAGTGATCTTTGATGTTACTATTGTAATTGTTTGGGGTGCCATGAACCATGCCCCTATAAGGTGGTGAACTCAGTTGATAATTGTTTGTTCTGGCTGCTCTGCTGACCAGCTGTTTCCTGTCTCTCCCCCTCTCCTTGAGCCTCCCTATTCCCTGAGACACAGCAATAGTGGAATTAGGCCAGTTAATAACCTACAGTGGCCTCTGAGTGTTCTAGTGAAAGGAAGAGTTACCTGTCTCTCACTTTAAGTCAAAAGCTAGAAATGATCCAACTTAGTGAGGAATGCATCTTGAAAGCCCAGATAGGCTGCAAGCTAGGCCTCCCTCTTGTACCAAATAGCCAAATTGTGAATGCAAAGGAAAAGTTCTTGAAAGAAATTGAAAGTGCTACTCCACTGAATGCATTAAGAAGAAAGCGAAAGAACCTTATTGCTGATACAGAGAAAGTTTTGTGGTCTGGATAGGTGAAACCGACCACATTCCTTTAAGCCATAGCCTAATCCAGAGCAAGGCCCTAATTCTCTTCAATTCTATGAAGGCTGAGAGGTGAGGAGGCTGCAGAAGAAAAGTTGGAAGCTAGCAGAGGTTGGTTCATGAGGTTTAAGGAAAGAAGCTGTCCCCATAACATAAAAGGGCAAAGTGAAGCAGCCAGTGCTGATGTGGAAACTACAGCAAGTTATCCAGCAGATCTAGCTGAGGTAATTAATGAAGATTGTTACACTTAACAGATTTTCAACCTAAATAAAACAGCCAGAAGGGTTTCTATGGGAAGATGATGCCATCTAGGATTTTTACAGCTAGAGAGAAGTCAATACCTGGCTTCAAAGTCTCAAAGGAGCCCTGGCCAGTGTGGCTTAGTTGGTTGAGCATCATCCTATGCACCCAGAGGTTGCCAGTTCAATTCCTGGTCAGGGCATATGCCCAGATTGCAGGCTCAATCCCCAGTAGGGGGCATGCAGGAGGCAGCCGATTCATGCTTCTCTCTCCCTTCCTCTTTAAAATCAATAAAAAACATGTATTTTAAAGTACAGGCTGACTTTCTTGTTAGGAGCTAATGCAGCTGCTGACTTTTAAGTTGAAGCCAATGCTAATTTACCCTTCTGAAAATCCTAGGGCCCTTAAGAACTGTACTAAATCTGTTCTGCCTGTGCTCTAGAAATGGAACAACAAAACCTGTATGATAGCACACCTGTTTACAATATGATTTACTGAATAATTAGCCCATTGTTGGGACCTACTGCCCAGGGGAAAAAAAAATCCTTTCAAATTAATGCTGCTCATTGACAAGCACCTGGTCACCCAAGAGCTCTGATGGAGATGTACGATGAGATTAATGTTGTTATCATGCTGCGAACAACATCTATTTTGCAATCTGGATCAAGGAATAATTTCAACTTTCAAATCCTAAGAAATACATTTCATAATGCGATAGTTGCCATAGTGATTCCTCTGATGGATCTGGGCAAAGTTAAAAGCATTCTAGAAAGGATTCCCCATTCTAGATGCCATTAAAAACATTAGCCCCCGGCCTGCGTGGCTCAGCAGTTGAGCATCTACCTAGGATCCAGAAGATCATGGTTCAATTCCCAGTCAGGGCACATGCCCGGGTTGCACTCCCAGTGAGGGGTGTGCAGGAGGCAGCTGATCAGTGACTCCCTCATCATTGATGTTTCTGTCTCCCTCTCCCTTCCTCTCTGAAATCAATAAAGATATATTTAAAATAAGAAAAAAAGAACATTAGTGATTCATGGGAATAGGTCAAAATATTACCATTAACGGGAGATTGGAAAAAGTTGTTTCCAACCCTCATGGATAACTTGGAGGGGATTCAAGACTCCAGTGGAGGAAGTAACTGCAGATGTGGTGGAAAAATAAGAAAATTAGAAGTGTAGCCTGAAGATGTGACTGAATTGCTATAATCTCATGATAAAACTTTAATAGATGAATTGCTTCTTGTGGATGAGCAAAGTGGTTTCTTGCAGAGTGTACTCCCAGTGAAGATGCTGTGAAGATTGTTGAAATGACAACAGATTTATTAGAGTATTACTTAGATGATAAAGCAGCAGCTGGGTTTGAGAGGACTGACCCCAACCCTGGCTAGCATGGCTCAGTTGGGATTGTCGTCCCACGCACCAAAGGGTGGCAGGTTTGATCCTATCAGGTCATGTGCGGGAGGCAACTGATGGATGTTTCTCTCCCTTCTCTCTAAAAATCAATTTAAAAAATAGAGGATTGACTCCAATTTTTTTTAGAATTTTTTTAATTTTAATTTTTTGGAGAGACAAACATTGATGGGAGAACAGAACATTGATTGGCTGCCACCTGATTGCCCCCTACCAGGGATCAAGCCTGCAACCCAGGCATGTGTCCTGACCGGAAATCGAACCAGCAACCTTTCGGGGCATGGGACTATGCCTAACCAAGCCACACTGGCCAGGGCTTGACTTCTATTTTGAAAGAAACTACTGTTGCATGCTACAGAGAAATCATTCGTGAAAGAGTCAATGTGGCAAACTTCAATTTCTTATGTTAAGAAATTGCTAGAGCCACCCAACCTTCAGCAGCCACTACCCTTATTGAGGTAAGACCCTCTACCCTTATTGAGGTAAGACCCTCTACGAGCAGAAAGATTACAAATCACTGAAAGCCCAGATGGTGTATAGCATTTTTTAGCTGTGACGTATTTTTTAATTTATATTGTTTTTTAGACATGCTATTGTACACTTAATAGGCTACAGTATAATTAATGTAAACTTAAGTTTTATATGCATCAGGAAACCAAAAAATTTGTAACTCGCTTTATTGCAATATTCACTTTATTGTAGTGGTCTGGAACTGAACCTATTAATATCTAAGCTATGCCTGAATTCCCCCCTCCCCTTCAATCAGTTGCCCCAGGGAAGGGATATGGACAGAGGCTGCTTCTGATATACAGCTGTATCTTTGTCACACCCAGCAGGGCCCACAATAGCCATTCATAGATGATTTTTCAGTAGAGTCATGCTGACATCTCATTTAGGCCATTCTCCCATTCACAGAACTTGTCTCATTCTAGGAGGGACTGTGGGAAGAGGGATTCAGAGGACACAGTCCCTCAGAGGAGGATAGTCCATAATGCTTAACAAGCAGAGGCCAGAAATGGGAGAGTATGAGAAGATCCTCTGGCCCCAGAAAGGCCAGGAGAAGGGACTTAACACATTGTTTGCGGGTAGTTTTTATTGCACGCCCTACTACCAGTCAACGTAAAACGTATAAATATGTTTCCCGCATATAATGTGTTAAAAGAAGGCAGGTGGTCTGGAAGACTAAGCAGGAACAAAGGTATGCTCTGAAGAGCCCAGATTTCCCTTCTTTTCCCACACAGATCAGGCAGCTTAGCAGCCAAGGGAGAAAAATAGACTTTATTTACAAGTAATAACATTTAGAAAAGATCCATCCCTGGCCCTTAAAAACCTTCCCATCAATCCAAATCCCACCCCAGCACAAGTCTAGAGAAGGCAGGGTATGAGCTTGCCACTGAAGGTTGCCCCCCATCCTCCCCTACCCTGGTGGGCCTGGCTGTCCTGGAAAAGAGCATCCTCTGGGCAACTGAGGATAGATGGGTGGGAGCATCCGGGGGTGGGGTGCTCCCACTAGGTCAACGCCCAGTCCTGGACTTTAAGAGCAAGGGCCCCTTCTAGGCCTAGCCACCAGGAATAGCAGGGACCAGGGCCTGCTCCTCCAATGGTCCCTTCTAGATCCAGAGGCTGAAGAGGATTGGCTGGGCCCATTCAAAACCAGCCTCAAATCTTGTGATGGAGAATTGACTTTGCTTCGCAAAAACATCAGGAGGCAAGGCAGGGAGAGGACCTAGACTGTCCAGGCTCCAGGCCAACTCTGAAGTCACATCTGTTCACCTAGTGAAGGCTCTGGTAAAGGTCCAGGTACCAGGCCAAGGTGTGTCAGGCATCACTGTCTTCAGGGGTTTGGCCACACTGTTGGCCTGGAAGCTGAGAAGGCACTGAGGGGGACAGTAGGAGGAGCAAGCAAGGGCAGCATCAGGAACACAGGTGGGGCCACTCACTGGTACTGGTCCTTTAGTGCTTTGCCTGAAAGAGAAACAGTTACATGGCTGGATGAGACTTTGATGTTGGCCTGCACCAGCTGACTTACGAAGACCTCTTCCTGCTCCCATAGCCCCCTGACTAGTCTCCCTTCTGTGATGTGGGCCTGGACAGATCAACCTTCTGGTTATCAGTTGCTGGGTGTGTTAAGCAGCTCTGGATTTTCTCAGTAGGAATGGAGTTTTCTGTCTCCTCAATAAGCCACTGACCAAGACAAGGAGCACCTGCTTAGCCTCCAGCCTCCTAGCTTGGCCCTGTCCTGGAAGCTGCCCCATGCTTCCACGGTGCTTTCTGAGAATTGAACCCTCCCCCTTCCATCAGTGCCTCCACCTTGCCCTTGGCCCGAGGAGTGGCAGTGGCGGCAGCGATGGCAGCAGCAGTGGCAGCGCTGGCTGTGGTGGTGGCAATGCGAGGAGAGCGACGGGTTCCACTGCGGGTGTTGGGGGAGGCCTTGGACAGGGTTTTCTTTGAGGCTCCCCTCCGCAGAAGGCTATTCCCGAGCTTCTTGGGTGTGTTGAGGATGCTGAAGGTCATGGACTGGCGGCGGTCAGCCTGTGGGGAAGCGCTATCAAATGGAGCTCACTGCTGCTTTTCCAGGCCAACCTGCTGCTCTAGTGTCTCCCTTCAGCTCCCAACTAACCTGTTTACCAAGAGTTGGGGCTGCTTTCCTCTGGGCCTCCGCAGTGCTCTGTTTGCGCCCTTCATGTCGGTCCCGGGGAGTCATGGGGCGTGGGAAACAGCTGGTGGGCTTCTTAGACTAGGGGAAAAGGCCAGTTAGGCAGACATCAGCAAGAGGACTTCACATTCAAAGCCAGGTGTCTCAACTAAGTGGAACTTTTAAGTCAACTTATCCAAGCAGCAGCAGCCCCCACCCCACTCCCAAGAGCCAGAAGCCTGCCCTTTAATCCACTTTTCAAACTTGGTGAGCTGGCCCTGACCTGGCAGGCTGTTAGCTAGAATAAAACACAGGAGCCAATGTCACCTACCTCAGGGGTGCCAGGGCCCTGGTGGGGCTCTAAGGAAACCCGTTTGCGCTGCCGGGTAGTGATGCCAGTGCCCTCAGCTATCTGGGTTGGCTGCATGCTGGCTCGGCGCAGGGTCTCCTGGGGGTCACCGGTTTTCATCTCTTCGTCTGTGATGGTAGCCAGGCTCAAGGAAGGCTGCATAGGGTGGAGTGGTCAGTGGACTCAGGCTGTTTGGAGATGCAACAGGACTGCCCCAGACTTTCTTCACTGGCCTGGCACATGGGACAGCTGAAGCCTTATTGTAAAAGGACTCCCTACCTGTTGTCTTCCCCTGCACAATGGTCATAGGAGTTCCAAGCAGACCTTTCTACCTCCTGCCCACACACAGTGACCACCCCCGAGCTCCCTCCCTGCCAGCTGTTCTACTAGAAGTATCTAGTCACCCTCCTCAGGAGGCCAGAGACCTAGGCCTCCTGAGCTAGGTCAGCAAGCGGAACTGGGATGAAATGTTGAGAGAAGTGAGCCAGTGTGGGCCAGTCCTATGGAGGTGACCCCAGAGCTCACCCTGGACTCAAGGGGATAGCAGGTCTTCAGGTGTGGGGGGCAGACTCGATTGCGCTGCTGCAGCTCTGCAATGCGGTTCCAGTCATCCAGCTGCTCAGGCTCATCCTGGCAAGTGCCCATGTAGAAGCTGTTCCTTCCTGGGGTGGGCAGGGAAGTTGGGGCAAGTGGGAGTGGAAGGCCAGGAAGAATGAGGGTAGAGGCAGAAGGTTGCCCACTGTCCCTGTCATCTTGCCAGCCTTTGCTGCCACCATCCTGTCCACCTGTCCCATGGACTTCAAGCCCAGTAGCCCAGAGTCCTGCTCAAAGCTGCAGATACAGGAGCAGGGTTCACAGAAGCTAGCTCACTGCTCTCTCCCTGAAGAGGTCAAAAGAGGTCATATGCAGAGGCTATGACACCAAGAGAAACTACTCGAGGGCCAGGAATTGATACCTAAGGGGTCCCCAAAGGACAAGAGCCTCCAAAAAGAATCTGAAGGTAAAACACTGGCCAGCTTGGCCCTTTGGCAGACCCTTACCACCTGAGAAGGGCATGAAGGACTCCTGACAGCCTCTGAACTTCAGTAAAGTGCTGGAAATCGCACGCCCATTGTATGAGCATTTCTGATTCCCCCTTGCTGGACAGGCAAGGCCCTGAGGCTGCAGAAAGGCAGCTGGGAAGCTAGCATTCGGTTTTTCAAATGCTTGTCCTTTCCCTGTGCCAGGATCTGCTTCTAGTCTAATAATTTGGGTAGGGTTAGGGAACAGTCCCCTACCTGGAGGGGCGCCACTGGACACCCCGGCCTGGGAGCGGCGAGCAGAGCTGCGAGTAGTAGGCCGGTAGCCAGGCAGGCTGAGCAGAGCTGAGTTGCCATCATTGGGAGAGCTCAAGCGGGCTAGAGAATGGGTGGAGGAGGTGGCTCTCGGGCCGACCTGGGAAGCAGGGGCAGACTGCGTGCTATAGAAGGATGAGTTGGCACTGTCTGGCTCTTCCACATCTGACTTCTGGAAGAAAGGATGACTCTGTTGTGGTGGGGTGGAGTGGGCTCCCTGCCATTCTTTTTCCCCTCCTGAAGCCCCTCAGATCCTACAGCATTTGTTCTCAGACTGCTTTGCAGGGTTCTTACCTGGAAGTCTGCAAGAAATGGGCCTTGCTGCCAGAATCCCACATGGTACTGAGAGTATCAAGACTCTTTTCTACCCATTTTCCCACTGACTCTATTAACAGTGCTTTGAAGGAGGGAAGAAGGCAGGATGTATCAGACTATTTTAGTAGTGAGGTGCTAGGAAGTGGGAGAGCCAGGGCTGGAAGCCATGTCTCCTGAGCTCGTCAGGCTCATCCCATGGCCTTCATGTCCCCCAGCCCAAGCTTGCCAGGGTCCTGAACATGTTTTAGAGCTTCTCCAGCTTTTTAGTAGCAGGGGGTACCCTGCACACAGAGGTGTCCCCTGCTGCACCAAAGGCATCTCTCCTCCCTAACCTTATAATATGGAAACGGGCCAGAGCCCCCACGCCGGCAGGCAACCCACTGGCAGCCACAACACATCTCAGCTACCCAGGGGGTGTGCTGGGAGGCACAGGGGGTGTGCTGGGAGGCACTTCTCCATATTCTCTCCTTTCAGCTTCTACAGGGCCAGTGCTACACATGGAAAGGACGCCAGCCTTACAGTCAGCAGATAGGCATTCAATTACAGCCCTGTCCTTTGCTATAAACGAGGCCTAAGATCCTTCTCAGAATTTCAGCTTTTACTTCTGGAAGATATGGACTGGTGAGCCCTGCCTGCCTCTCCAGGCAGTTTTGAGGACCCAATGGAAAGATGCCCTTGAGAAGACATGAGCATTACTGTCCTGCAACCCCACTCCCAGTAGCCTGACCTTGGTCATGGTGATGTTGATGATTTGCGTAGTACGTCGACGAGCAGAGCGGGTCTTCCGGCCTGAGTCCAGGAAGACGTCCCCCAGGGAGTCCAGGCTGCTCTCCAGGGGCGGCTGACCCCGAGCAGGGATAGGGGTGAAGTAGAGACTTTCTAGGGATTCTACCTTGGGGGGCAGGTGCTGGGAGATGGGTGAAGCTGGCTCTCCAGGGATGCTGGTGCCATCTGGCTGGGTACGAGGCAGCTTGCTATAGGAAAGAAATCTGATGAGATGCCTTTCTTGGGGCTAGAAAGCATTTTGTCTGTACCTTTGCTCCAAAGTGATCAATTCCTACAATAATTATAAGCAGACCAGGTCAAGCACCGCATGTGCTGAGTTTTCAAAGGTATCAAGGAGAGCCCTTCACCTGGGCCCTCCCTTCACTTCATTCTCCATCTCTGGTGAGCCTACCCACACCCATGGCCCTCTGAACTCAATATTGGCAACTCCTAGATCCTCCTCTCAGACCCATATGTCCACTGCCCCAGATATCTCTCTCGACACCCACTGCTACTCCACAATGAACATGTCCCAAACTAAGTCTGTCTATTCCTCCCCCTGTATCTCCTAAATCAGAGAATAGGAGTAGCCTCCACCCAGGCTGCCCAGCCACGAACATGGACACAATCCTACCTCTTCCCTCTCCTACCAAACCCAGTCAGCAAGTCTCCTAACCACTCCCCACTCTGCTCTCACATCCTTCCCTGGTCTGCCATCTCCTCTCACCTAGACATCTGAGAGAGGCACCAGAGTGGTGACAAGCAAGGACTCAGCCAAGCTGCCTGGGTTCAAGCTCTGTCACTGTGGGACCTTGAGCAAATGACTGCATAGCTATGCCCCAGTTTCATCTGTTAAATGAATTACTATTTTTAAAGAGTCTAACAGTGACGTGTGTTATTAAATAAAAACAAATGTTTCCAGTCTCAGCTTCTACATTGGCTATATGGATAAGCTAAGATGCAAATCTGATCATGTACTCAATTTCAAACCCTTTATCAATGGGGAGTCCAGCTGGCTCCCCCAACTGCACTTTCCAGCCCAGCCAGGCTCTCTCTCGGCCTTTCCTCTCACTGTTCTCTGTCCACTGGGCACACATACCTACGGCTTCAATCAAGACGCAGAAAAAGAGTGATAGAAGAATAAAAAGGCTTCGTGGAGGCTAAGAATAAGCTTCCAGAGGGCAAAGGGACCACATCTTTTTTCTCTCACAGCCCCAGTGCCCAGGATACAGCCTAATAGTAATCTCTCAATGGACAAAGTGAGGGAAGAAGGGTGCCTTCTGACCTGGTAATCGTGAGTGGGGTTCCCTCACAGCTCAGATCCAGGCTGTCAATACTCAAGTCCAGCTGAGGCTTAGGCTGGGGCTCCCGGCTCTTTAAGGCATCAGTCGCCACCTGAAACTTGCCCAGGTCTCGAAGCTGCTGGTCAGCATGGGCAACCTGAGAAGCAGAAGGCCAGGGACAGTGAGAAGCCTAAGGCAGGGGTGGCTTAGGAGAGGAAGGCACAGGGATCCATTACGACGAGTGAGGGAGTCTGTACAGCCAGATACTTACCTGTGCCTCCAGGCTCCGCACCTGGGCAGTAAGGTGGCGGCAGGTCTGTTCAGTCTCCTTAGTCTTCAACCCAGCCTGCTGTAGCTCACGACCCAGCCGCTCGGCTTCGGCCCTCAGCTCCTTGTTTTCCTTCTGCAGCTGTTCCAGGCCCTGCAGCTGCTCCTGCAATTCTTGGTTCTGCTGCTTCTTGGCATCATAATGGGTCTTGGCTTTCTCCATCTGTGTGGGCAGATGGGTGGGTGGGGGGCAGGGATGGAGGGCAGGGGATGGCAGGAGGGAGGGCAGAGTGGGCCAGACTGTGCTGCTCACCTGCAGCTTATAGTGCTCAGCTGCCTGTTCTTTCTGGCTCAACTGGGCCTGCAATTCACTCAGCTGGGCCTGGAGGCGTTGTGCTTCTTGCTGGCTCTCCCCTCCCTGGGCCTGAAAAGCATGTGTTGTGGAATGCTGATCAGGGTGGCTGGTCTGACTGCTCCATCCAAATCCACAGATTTAACCTAGCTTCCTGGGCTCCATAGCATTTTCAGACTCCTGCATATTCTCTCAGGAAACGGAAAAATCCTTTTACCCCCACCCCCACCAACTCTAGCATACTGAAACACCACACTGCAGTCCGCAGGAGCTTTCCCATCCAGCTCATGCCATTTCTAGCAGGGCTCTAACAGCCCTATCTTGTTTGAGATCAGGCACAAACTGTCCCATTCTCTCTCCATGAGTACACAATCAGTCTCCCCAAGGAGGAAGGGAACTGATCCTCTCACTCAGGTGCAGAGCATAGGGCTAGGAACTTGAGATGTGAGCACTCAGGGCATGTGAACTCATTTCTTCTCAAAGCAACTCTGGGAAGTAATTATATCTCCATTTCAGAGTTCAAGAAATTGAGCTCAGAGATTTAAGCAAATTGGCGGGGGTCACAGTGACTAAATAGCACAGTATGATCTGAACCTTAGTGCTCCTGACTCCAAAGCCCATGTGGGCTCATTTATGATGCTAGCACTGCCTCCCCCCCAGACCAGACTCCTTGGGAACAGGGCCTGTGTCTGATTCTCTGTCCACCTGCAAGGCCAGCAAGTGCTTAGTTTGTTGTAGACACTGGACAGGGTCATCTGGCTTTACCTCTCCCTACAGCTCCTAGAACCAGGAAGGCCCCCAAAGGATTATAACAATGTTTATCACAATCATGGCATGGTGTGGAGCACATGGAAGTGGGCTGGGGAAACGAAGCTCTCAGCTCCCGCCAACTCCTGCAACCCACCAGGGCTTTAGCAAGTCCCAGGGCCACTGGTGCCCAATTCCTTTGCTCCTAGCTAAAAGCTGTGAAGCCTAGACTGCAAAAACACAAATATTAAATGAAAGGTGACATTGTTGAAAGCATGAATATTATATTCTTTATACTATTACATGTCATTAATACTCTAGCACTATCCAATAGAACTTTCTGCAATGATAGCATGTTCTGTATCTACCCTGTCCAACGTGGTAGCCACAAGCCACATGCAGTTGCTAAGCAGAGAAAATGTGGCTAGTGTGACTGAGGAACTGAACTTTTATAATTAATTATAATTAATTTAAATTTAAATAACTACATGTTGGTGCTATTGTAATGCACAGCAAAGGTCTGAGGGATAGAAGTGGCTCTGGTCTTCAGAGCTCCCAGAAGACACAAGCAGGGAGTTCCTGAGCCACAGGCAGGTCTCCTAAGGCTGTCAGGCCCTCAGGGTACCCCTCCTCTACCACCATACCCACCATAGCCCGAGGGCTTAGAGAGCACCTTCCCGCCCCCATCTGTCCCACCTTCAGCTTCTGCTGCTGCACCTTGCTGGCTTGGTCATGGTCAGCTAGCTTCTTACTCAGTTCTTCCATCTGGAGCAGGGGAAGGAAGAGAAGGGAAGACTCAGAAGGCCTTCCTCTGGATGTCCAGGCAAATTACGTGGTTTTTTCAGACCAGTCCCCAACATTTTTAGAAAAACAAAGGCCCTTTCTCTGGCCTCCAATTAGGGAACTGTCTACTGCCCAGGCTGGTTGGTAGGACCTGTGTGAGGCAACCCAACACACAGGTGCTGCCAGAGCCACCTGCCCATGCTTACCTCCACCCCCAGCCTGCAGGCAGAGAATCGACTCTGGGGAGCTGACACCTTACCACCACCCTACTGCTGCTGCTGCCACTCCCAGCCCCAACCTTCCCGGGTTGGGGACAGGAATAGGGGACCTAGCCTGTAACTCTAGCAGACATACTCATTCAATACCCACCCCTTCTCCTCCCAGAAACTACCAAAGCAAAAGCCCACAGATGATCAGTCCTCTTCCCAATATCCACAGGCTGTTAGGGCTTGGTGCTGGCAGTTTGGTTAGTGTGCGGGAGCAGGCTGCTGTGAGACAGAGCAGGGGTAGCACATGTCCAAGCCCACCCAACTCCTACAGAGAGGAAGAGCAAGAGGAGGGAGGGATGAAGAGGAGCATCACAGCCACAAGCACTCCTGGCTCCTCAGGCATTCCAGGAGCTCAAGCATGATCAGCAAAGGCAAGAGGCAAGGGCTCCATTGCTAACTGTTTGTCATCTTGGGCTCCTTGAAGGTTGATGGGAGGAGAGGAAGGCCCAATTCCTCTGCAGGCCTGAGGTGACTGGGTAGGAGGGCTGGCAGAGAAAGGATGCTCCCACTAAAAACCAGCTCGATAGCCTTCACATCTAGGGCAGCAGAGATCCTTGTGAGAGTGAGGCAGCCAGACCACGCCACTCCATCTGGTGGTGGCCCGTCTTGCTCCTCTCAACCTTGGCCTTACTGCTCACAGACATCTCTATTTCATGCTTGGGGTTAAAGCCCAAGGGGTCATCGCCCATTGGCAGGCATCCTGAGCTCACAGCCCTCCCTAACCTGTACGGGATGGCTTGCTTATCACCTTTATGGCTTCTGTGGAAAAGAAGGGAGCTGTGTTAAACGAGGCCACAGTCATTCTGCTAGTCCTCTTTACTGAGGACCCAAACTTAGAACAGGACTTGAAGGTTCAGGAATCCCAAGAATTGTCTGTGACTGGTTCAGGTATGAGGAAGATGAAGCCTACCCTACCACTTGTCCCTCACAGGCAGATGGTGGAAAGTGCAGAAGGTGGAGAGGCCGACCTGGGATGGGTGGGATGAGGCCTGAGAGGACCCAGCATTCCTGGGCAGCCTGGGCCTGGATTCGACGGCTTGACCCTGCCCCCTTCACAAACAGTTCACAACAGGAGCTGGCGGAGGCAAGCTGCAGCCGAGGTCATGCACCAAGACTGGTCACCGCTTAAGCAGCCAGCATTTAGCAAGGACCCCAGGCATTACCTGCTTAGTTTGCTCTCTCTGAAATACCTCTAGCTGTTCCACCTGTGCATGGGGGAGGAGCAATGGAGACAGAGTGAGATGGGGGCCAAAGAGGCACTGTTCCTGCTGTCAGGCTGATCTCACTGAGGCTCTTAAAGTCCCCCCCCTCCCCACCCCACAAGGAACCACACTTCTAGTGATGTTTAAAATGCCAATTTGGCTCGTTCCAGTCCCCAGTGGCTCTTAGGGCCTCCACTGCAGGTGCACCTCACAATGTGCCTCCAGAATGGGCAATGCCCTTCACTGACTCTCCAGAGATGGAGTCTTCAGGGAAGGGGAGGCTACTGATATTTTCTTTGGGACAATAGGGGGCAACAAGCTTGAAATCTGCCAGCCACCTCTCCTCTGCCACCCAGTGGGTGAGGGAGATAAGACACTGCAATAATGTGGGAGCTTGAGGCCCTGGGATGCAGGGGGAAAACTGTCCCATCTCTCAGGTCCAACCTTTGTAGGTGTTGTTGAGTTGGGTGCCTTACCTGGGCAGTTAGTTTCTGTCTCTCTTCCTGGAACCGCTGTCTCTCCTCCAGAACCTTGACCTTGGCACCCTCATACTTGGCAGTCATCACCTCCAGCTCCCGGGCAGTATTCTGCGCTTCCCGCTGCATCTCGGTCAGACGGGCCTCAGCGTCAGCACGCACAGCTGCCAGCTCTTGGTCATATTTCTCCCGGGCCTGGTCCAGCTCCACTTCCAGAAACTGCTGGCCAAGGTTGGCCTTCTCACCCAGGCCCCGGTTCTCCTCTGCCAGCAGGCCATGAGCCTCCTTCAGCCTGCTCAGCTGCTCTGCGTAGCTGGCCTTCTCTGCCCGCAGCTGCTGGGCTGCTCGCTCTTGCTCTGCCACCTTCTGTCGTAGGGGCATCAGCTCCCCAAGCTCTCGCTGGGCCCGCATCAGCTCTGCCCGCAGCCCACCAGCTGCCTGCTTGCTTTGCTCCAGCTCCTCACGATGGCGTTTCTCAGCAGCTACCTGCTCAGCCTGCAGCTGCTGGCACAGGTGCTTGGCAGGCAGCAGCTCACTCACCAGGGCCTGTGTGCTGGTGTGCTCTAACTGCAAGGTGGAGAGGGCTTGCTCCTTCTGGAAGAATTTCTCCTGCCATGCCTTTAATTCTTGTCCCAGTTCCTCTGCTCGCTCTGCATGTGAGGCCAGCTCCTGTCGAAGGCTCTCTGAAGCCACCCGCTGTTTCTCTGCCTCCTCCCGGAGAGTTTGGACCTCCTCCCGCAGAGCAGAGCTGCGTTCTGCGGCTCTGGCACTGTTGCTGGCTGTCTCTGCCTGGAGCAGGCGCAGCCTCTCCTCCAGCTTCTGGCTCTTCTCTGACTCAGCTACAATAAGCCGCTTCAACTCCTTGCTCTCACCCTCCTTCTCCAGGACCTGACGGTTTAGGATAGACACCTCCTCCTCTAAGCTGCTGATGAGGCTGTTTTTTCTCTCAGCCTCCTGCTGGCCACGGGCCACCTGGGCCTTCCACTCATCCTCAGCCTTGCCATGGTCTTGGGCCTTGGTGCGGAGGGTGGCCAGCTCCCTTTGTGCTGAGGCTAAAGTCTCCTGACTGCGCCCCAGCTCCTGGGCCTTCTCTTCTAACTGGCCCCGCAAAGTCTCCAGAGCACAGGCCCGCTCCGTCTGGGAGGCACGCTCAGACTCTAGGCTACGCTCCAGGCTAGAGGCCTTCTCCTGATGCTCACGGCACTGCTGCTCCAGCTTGCTCACCTCTGCCTGCAGAGCCTCCAGGTCAGGGCTTCTTCGCTTGGTCTTTCCAGTAGCCTCAGACTGGGCTCCTGACCCACAGGTGTCTTCTCCACTGGCCATCCCTAGAGACTGCTGGTGCTCCTCTTCCTTCTTGGACAGCTGTTTCTTCAGTTGCTCCACGGTTTGCTGAAGCTCCCCCAGCTCTGTTCTCTGGGCTGCCTCCTGCCCACGAAGCTTGGCCAGCTCCTGGTCCTTCCCTTCCTTTTCCCTCAGGGCATGGGCGAGTGCTTCTTGCAGGGTAGCAAACTCCACACGCTGCTCATTGAGGGCATTCTGCAACCGCATCTCAAGCTCTGCCTTGGCGGCCTTCTCCAGGACAAGATCAGCTTGGGCTCGGCCCCGCTCCTGGGTCAGCTGAGCCACCTCACGCTCCTGCTGCTCACGCTCCTCCTGTTGCTGCCCCTGGCTCTCCATCAGTGCAGCCCGCAGCCTCTCCAGCTCACTGCCCATTTGCTCTGCTTCACGCTCCATGGCCTGCAGTGCAGCCTGTGTGCTGCAGAACTGATGTCCCTGCTGCTCTTCTGGCCACTCTGATCCTCTGTCTGCTGCCCTTGGGGGCTCCTTGAGTAGCTCACAGGAAGTTGTTTCCTTCTGCTCACCGGCTTTGCGCACCAAGGCCTCCAGGCGGGCCACCTCCTTGCTGGCGGCAGCCATCTTCTCCTGCATAGCAGAGAGGTCATCTGCAAGTTTCTGGGCCCTGATCTCCTTCTCTTGGACCTGCTGGTGGGCTCTGGCCAGGCTGGCATGGAGCTGGGCTAGCTCACTCTGCTGCCGGCCTATCTGGAGCTCGCTGTGGGACTCTATCCCTGACACCTTCTCCTTTGCCTCCTGCAGCTCCTGGCGGGCCTTCTCACATTCCTCCTTCAGAGTCATCAGCTGTTCCTGGAACATGGCACCATACTGGGCCTCCTCTTGCTGGCTATCCTCGTACCGCTCACGCCAGGTGGCCACCTCCTTGGCAAGCTGCTCACACTCACTCTCAGCCTCACGCTGGGAGGCTATGGCCTCTGCCAGCTCCCGCCGCAGGGCTTCTGTCACAGCCTGATGGGCCTCCCCAAGCTGCTGTAATTGAGCCTCCAGCTCTTTGCGTCCAGCCTTCTCTTCTTCTAGCTCCTTTTGTTCCTGCTTATGTTGCTCTACCAGGCTCCGGGTCTCTGCCTCTAGTTTGGAGATACAACACTGCTGCTCTTCCAGGGTGACTGCAGCCCTGCGCTTCTCCTCTTCAAGGCCGCCCCTAGTGATCTTCAAGGACTCCTCAAGGGCCTGGACCTGCTCCTGGAGCTGGTTCTTCTCCTGGGCCACCCTTTCTCTCTCAGTTGCTTTTTGCAGCTCAGACCTCAGCTGGGCCTTTAATTCTGCTACCTGGGCCTGGGTCTCACACTGCTCCTGGCGGGCTGCCTCAATACAGGCATGAAGTTCCTCCACCTTTTGGCTCAGCTCTGCTTTCTCCTGCTGCGCCTGTGTCACTGAGATCTGGGCACTGTCCCGGGCTTCATTAGCAGCCTGAAGTTGCTGTTGCAGGACCTCTAGCTTCGCAGCCTTCTCTTTCTCCAGTGCCTCTACTTGCTGGAGGGCTGAATCCCTCTCTCTTAAGGAGGCCTCCCGCTCAGCAACAGTGGCCAGTTGCTGGGAGTAGTCTCGCCTGGTGGCCTCCAGCTCCTTGGTGGCCTTCTCCAGCTGCTGCTCCTTCTGCTTCAGGCTGGTGCTCAGTTGCTCCACCTGGTGGCGGAGGGTCTGGGAGGCCTGTTCTTGCTGCTGGAGGGTCTGTGCTAGCTGGGCCTGCTCCTTTTTGGCCTGCTGCTTCAAGCAAGCCAGTTCTTGGTCCTGCTGCTGGAGAGTAGCATTAAGAGTTGTTAGCTCAGAGGTCAGCGTGGCCACCTGAGCAGACAACTGGGCCTCCTGAGCCTGGGAGGCCTTCTCCAGCTCTTCCTTGGCCTGGCTGGCATTGGATAGGGAGTTCTGCAGCTCAGCAATTAGGCCAGCCAGATGCTGCTTTTCTTCTTCAAAGTGGCCCCGCTCAGCAAGCAGCTTGGCTTCCTGCTGGCCCTGCTCCGTCTCCAGTGCCTCCACCCTGGCTTGGAGCTGGGTGTTGTCTGCAGTAAGAGTGGCTGCCTCTTGCTTCAAGGTTTCCAGCTGGTGAGACAGAGACAAATTGGGATCAGCATGACTCTTGTCACCATAGCCCCTCTGGGAACTGAGAGTAGCCAGGAACCTGAATATGCTGAACATGGGCCCACACCAACCCCAGCAGACAACACACAGGTCTTGAGGCTGCTCTTATGCATTCCTACCTGCAAAACGTCACCCAGCACCTCACCCTTCTCCTGGGGTGGGTTCTCCTGTAGCCGGGCCAAATGTTCTTCCAACTGTGAAAGTTTTCCCTGAAGGATTTCATTCTTCTCTTCAAGGCATTTCTGGGAGTAAACAAAAGCCCCATGAGAACAGAGGTGAAATGGGCACCAGATATCCCCACAAGCCCTTGTGAACATCAACAAAACATAGGACCCTATCACCTTGTTACCAAGATCTCCTTTTGCCCTCACCTAGAAAAGACTCAGAAATCATGGACCTGGGACCATGAGGGATCTGACTTTCTAACCCTAGCTCCAGGGCTGAACTGAGTCATGTGACCTGCTAATTTCTTCTCCAAGGCCAGAGTTCACTTCAAAATTCCTTACTGTATTCCCTTTCTCACCGAATTCTTGGCTTCCAGATTATCCAAACACCCACCCAGCTTAAAAACATACCCTGCTTCTTTGGACATCAATAGCAGGAGCAGCATTGCCCTGTCCCACACCTCCACTTCCCCTTACTGCTCTCTAAGCACCTACAACAGGCCAGGCACTGTGCTGGGTGCCTCTCTGAATTTCTAATCCATACAACAGATCCGAGAAGTAGCTATTACTGCCCCTCTCTTAGAGAGCAAGAATCTGAAGTTCAGATGTTAAGTGGTTTGGCCCAGGGCTACATGATTAATAAGTGGCAGAACTGAGTTCCTAATAACAACAACAATAGCAACTAATTCACTGAGAGCTTACTTTGCACCACATAACGTGTCGTGCTTTCTACGTATTATTATCTTACAATGGTTGATGAGGCAACTACTCGTTCTTTTTCCCATTTTCAGGAAAGGATGCTTAGAGAGAAGGAGATCAAGTAACTTATCCAAGATCCACACCTTGTAAATAGCAGAGACAGGATTCAAAGGTGTATTGGACTTATAAGCCCACATTCTTCCATTACAGCACACTATTAACCCTTGAACAGAAGTCAGCTTAATTCCCAAAGGCCCAAAAGAAGAGAGCAGCAAACGGAATTCAACTTTGAACATGTGGTTAAGATGGTGCCCTAACACCCCAAAGCAGAGGGTTACCTTGTCCTGCAGGGCTGTGCTAAACTCCTTCTCAAGATGGGCCTGCTTCTCCACCCACTCCTGAGTGGCCTTGCTATGCTCCTCTGTCAGGTCGTTGAGGGCACCCTGTAGCTGCTGCAGGTGACTGGCAAACTCGCGCAGCTAAGACAGACAAATGGGAAGCCGTCACTCAGGGTCAGAACTGGTACCACCACTGCTGCTTGCTACCTTAACTCCAGGAGCTGGATGCCTCTGATGATCCTTCCCACCATCCCCAAACCAATCACAATAAATCACATCCCTAACAGGTCTACAGATCAAACTTTAGGGCCACAACCCATTTCCTGGCAGCCGCCAATTATGCGACAAAGGAAGGGGCAAAGTATACAGGTATCTGGAGAGACAAAAGCACAGGACAGGTGCCAGAAAATTCTTCTCAACCCTCTCTTGGGAAATTGTCCTTAAAACCCCAACCCCAAGGGGCCTCCAGGTGGGGGCAAGACCCACCCCACCCCACATTCACCTTAAAGGAAAGGTCCCCATTCTCCTCAGAAAGCTGGTTAATTTTACGGTCCATCTGGCTCTTCTCTGTCTTCAGGTCCTGGCACTGCTTCAGAGTTTCGTGGAGCCGCATGGTGAGGCTGTGAGGCAGGGCAGCAGTAAGAAAAGGGTGTATCCCCCATGGGTCAGGGCAGGGAGCTGGGAAGGCAGGCAGAGAGAACACTACCTCTCATTCTTGCCACGGAGCTCCTCAAGCTCCCTGGGCTCCAGCGGACTGGCCGCCTGCTTCTCGTTCAGCAGAGCCAGGCGGTCAATGCGCTGTTGCATCATGGCTATCTGCGCATCTGGCCCAGACAAGGGGAGAGGAGAGGGGAGTCAGCGCAGAACTAAGGGGAGGAAAGAGGAGGAGGAGGCATCCAATCTAAGGAAAAGGGAGGACAGAGGCAAGGACAGAACCAGTTTCCAGGAAGTCAGCCTGACGAGCCCAGGGCCAGCAGAGGGGCCATTCCTCAGACAAGCCCATGGCTCCCTGGATGGAAATCCTGGATGCTGCCCACTCATACACATCTGCTGTGTGCAAGGCACCTACCCCTCTCGGTGAGGAGCTTGCGGTTCTCAGCCAGCTCCAGCTCCAGCTCATCCCTATTATTTCTTTCATCCACAAGCTGCTTCTTCAGCCGTCTCATCTGGAATTGTGGCGTCTGCAGGATGTCACCCATGGGGGAGGCCGGAGAACCTGAAAGGAAGCTAAGGAAAGAGATGATCATCTTCAGGTATGAGACCTGAAGTGACCAGCAATAGGAAGGGCACTATGGATGTGAGCACTGGCTGAGAGGCCCACACCGCCGGGTTCTGTCTGCAGTGCTACCTCATGTCTCGTGACATGCCCTTGAGGAACTGAGAGGAGGGACTTTGGTGTAATCAAGAAAGAAAGGAATTCCAAAGAGAACAGCCTTTGAGAGATGCCTTTTGCCCAAGACAGATCCCAACCAATTCCCCCAATTAGTACTGCAGCAGGTGAGGACATCCCATATCTACAGGATACTGTAAGCACTCTCTGATGATGTAAGGGGCTGCTCAAGAGCTTAGTCTCTAGGAGGGAGGGAGTTGAGGACTGAATTTCGAGACCCTGTCCCAGGAAAGAGGCTCAGCACATACTTGTTCCCACTGGAAGAGGCAACCTTCTGTAGCTCTAGAAAGCGAACCTCCCTCCTGGCCTGGTGGCTGGGTGGGGAGAGATCTTCAGAGATGGTGCTAGAAGGGACAGGAGCTGGGGGGAAGGAGCAGACAAACCACAGAGAGGTTAGTAAGAGGGTGAACAGATTTGCATCTTCACACAATTTGAAAATTTGCCTTAGTGGGCGTGAATCCATGGGCACTTATATGTAAGCTACAGAAGGCGACCGGCCACTGGGCAGAACCTAAGCAGGATCTCCTCTCAGCTCCAATGATCTCTTGGGTCAGAGCCACAGGCCTCCTTTCTAAATTCCTCTAATCTGAAATCTTGCACTGCCAACACACTTTCTCAAAACGTTCTCTTTCCTTGGTTCCCATGGTTCTCCTACCTCTAAGCACTCACTCTTATTAGTCTCCCTCATTTGCTCCTTCCTCCCCCACCTTCTAAGCCCTTAGTGTTCAGATGGTGCCTCCTTGCTCTGCCCACCGCTTCAATGGCCAGCTTTACACTGACCTGCAAACCCATAACCTGGCCCAGAGCCTCTCCTCTCAATTTCCAACATCATCTAAAGGGCCCATGAGGAACCTGAATATGAGGAACATCAAATTCAGCAGCTGGAAGAGAACTTGCCTAGACCCAAGTCTTACATCCTATCATAACTAGATGGCCTCTTCATCAGAGGACAGGTAGAGCTGTCAGTCTTTCTGTTGTATTTCCAGTAAGACACCTGGTAGAATTGGTACCTCTCTGTTTCAGCACTTACTCCTTATCATACCCTACTGGGTTTATGTATCTGCCTTCCCACCTAGAACAAGAGCTTCATGTGGGGGGGGGGGGGATTTTTTTTTA